ATTTGATGGATGGATCATTTGGTGGATTAGGAATTGGCTGGATGGCTGCCCAGAGAAGTTGTGGATGCCCCATTCCTGGAGGTGTTAAAGGCCAGGTTGGATGGGGCTTTGAACAACCTGGTGTAGTGGAAGGTATGCCTGCCTGTGGCAGGGGGGTTGGAACTAGATCATAGAACAGGCTGATTTGGAAGAGACCCATCAGGATCATTGAGGTCAACTCCTAGCCCTGCTCAGGACACCCCAAGAGTCACATCATGTGCCTGAAAGTATTGTCGAAATGCTTCTTGAACTCAGACAGCCTTGATGCTGTGACCGCTGCCCTGGGGAGCCCGTTCCAGTGCCCAACCACCCTCTGGGTGAAAAACTTTTTTCTGATATCCAACCTAAACCTCCCCTGGCTCAGCTTCATGCTACTTCCTCGAGTCCTGATGATCTTTCACGTCCTTTCCAGCCCAAACTATTCTACGATTCACCATTGCGAGACCCATTCTGGATTCTCACCAAGGTGTCCTTTGTCTCTTCAGGAGGAGTCAGATTCTTGACATGGGGACATAACTGTAAATCTTTTATTCTTTAAAGCCCTGTGGCCTTTCCCAGTCTCTCCTGGGTTACCAAGTGTCTTATTTCCTAAATTAATAGCAAACAGAAACAAAAATACTACTCTGTAAAATGGGAATGCTTTTATGTGCGTAAGGAAAATCAATTTTGTTGCTTAGAGCTCAGGCGGTTTGATTCTATGATATTACTTTCTCCATCATCCCCATTTGTCTGTGCAATTGTTCTCTGCTGACAGATGGGCTTTAGCAGAGGCGTGTGTTTAAAACAGATGAAATTCATTGCTGTTGCTTAAAAAATATGAGGTTTTTTTGAGAAAACATTTATTTGTTTAACAGGAAGTTGGTTTGTCTTTTTGTTATCACTCCAAAGCTGAATGGAACTTCATTTGTCAGCGCACCTGGGAAATACAAAATCACCTATGTGATTTGATTTCATGATGATGCTTTCCTTAACATATATGAAGTCTGTGTATTTAATTTCTGTTCTTTCAAAGAAGAAACTGCAGGACTGATGAAGCATTGCTTCCTGGTTTTGTGTCTTGTGGCTGATTTGACATGAAGTCTTCAGGACACTTTGCTGCAGTCACAGCTTTGATTTGAGCTCATTCTCTTCAGAGTTTCTTGGCAAGATATGAACTTGCAGCCCAGCCTGATCTTCCATGTGATCACTTCCAGGATGTCTGTCCTCTCCTGTAGGAACACAGTTGTCTTTGAGCCTGCTGCTGTTCTGTCAGATTTGGCCGATGTGGCTATTGACTGAAGTAGCCTGAAGAGGGGGAAGGGTGAGGAGGGATGCAGATGGTGTGATTGTGTAAGCCTATTTTCCTATTAAACAAAAGAATACGCTTTTGTTCAGGATCAAACTTGTTCTCATGTATTCATCTCCTACATGTTTGTGCAAGTACAATGGCTGGGTTCCCTCCAACCTTGCCCTCCCCCTCTCCCTGTGCAGCCCTGAGTGGGGGAATGGGCCTGACCCCTGCATGCATTTGTGTCTTCCATACAACAGATCCCCCATGGTTTGTCCAAGACAGCCTTTTTTGGACATCTCTGCCACATCAGGCTGCTCAATTCACTGTAGGGGGAAGAATATCTTCAACTCTTGTCTGCTGTGCTTGGCCAGAGGCACAGTATGGTTATGTCACTGGAGTTTCGCAGCGCTGTTGGAAGTATTAAAGTCATCCAGATTGTATCAGGAGCAACCTCTAATGGGCTGGAACAGCAGGAACATCCAATGTGTTTGCTTCCTGCCCACCAACAGTGAGAGCATCTGACAGGTGTTGTCTGTACACTGCTGCTTCATCTAAATGAGAATTAAACAAAGTGAGGCTCAGATGCAAAAGAAGACCACAAAAGTATCCTGGTCATTCCAGAAGCATTGCAGATTTTCAGCTGTTAGGGAATGTCTTTTTATAAATGATACAGAGGCAAAGCACTAGAATCACCCACTGCAAAATGTACAGACAGGCCCTGTGAGGGTGGAGCTGACTCTTGTAGCATCTGGCAAATCTACAGCAGCCTTGTGATGCTATAGATGCCTGCCGAGCTGCTACTAGTGGGTCTTCCTCCTTATCCCCATCCTTATCAGGATACTCCCCCTAGAAAACCAGTTGCAGGCCTTGGCTCCCTCATGATTTACAAAGACTCACCAGGCTTGGAAAACATTGACACAATCTAAGAGTGAAGCTTGAGCCAAGGGGCCAGATTTTCACTACAACACATAATTACAGTTTCTCCAGTTTCAGTAAAGTTTTGGTGAATGACTGTGTCAAGCTGGAGGAGCTCTCGTCTGTCTGATCGTCACTTTCTACCATCTGCAGACCTTCCCTCATCTGCTCAGGGATCATCTCTGGCATGTTCCCTGGGATTCACGACTGGCTAGACTGAGGAATGATGCTTTCCAGGAGTATTTTTTCTCATCTACAGCTTTCTAGCTTATTTCATTTTAAAGGCCAACTGGCTCCACTACACACTGCAGCAAAGGGAACTGCAGCAAAAGAGAGGCAGTGGGAAGGTGTTCAGCCACATTTCAAGGCCATCGTTTAATGGATGTTCCGGTTTTGAAATTGAAGCTGTAGGGGTATTGATCCTCTACAAAGCTCTAGAGGTAAAATGTAAAATAAATTTAAAAAAAAAAAAAAAAAGAGTGAGGCTGGTGAGAAGTAGTAATGACTAGAGAGAAATTGCAATATTAAAACTTAATTATTCCTTGGGCTTTAAATCTCACGTGGTCTGACACCTATTGGTATTACTTACCTGGTGAAGCACGGCTGAGTAGAAATGTAAAATGTGAAGTGGAGCTGAAAACATAATTTTCAATTTCGTGCTAAGCCTTTTTTTGTGTTAATTTGCTCTTTAAATATAACCCTGACACTTGAATGTTCAAAATGGCTACATCAGCTGTTTGGGAAAGACAGGAAGGTATTCACTTACAGAAGAGTGGCTGAAGGGTGAAAGATGAATGATTTCTGTCACAGGAGTGAGGAAGATGTAAGCAGAAGCTCACGTTTGTACTGAATTCAGACATGAAGTTCAGCTGTGCCCTTTAGGGCAGCTGGAAGTGACTGGAAATTTGCTCCATGGTTTGGGCTGCTGCCTAAATAGACGGTTCTGCCTCTGAGCTTTTAATTTTTTTCTCTCTCTTTCCTTTTGCCAGAGCAAGTGTTTACATAATTGTCTGATATTTCAGATCAGAGGGTTTATCCACCTGAAAATAACCTGGCAAAATGAAATACTAGATTTTGCACACTTGGGCTTTCTGAGGCAGACCATCTCAAGGCTATTTGAATGCAGGTGGCTGAAGACAAAAGGAAGAGGTGGTAGAAAGGATGTAGCAACTTGAACATCTGTAATTGTGGGATCACAATTCCTGTTAAATACCCTGAAAAGAAAATAACCGTTTCCTTGCAGGAACTTTAGAACTGAAGTGTTGCTGTTTTTAAAAGTACTTGCATAGTAAAAAAGGCAATTTTTGTTGTATTATGTTACTATATTTGTTTTTCAGATTACATTGCTGTATTGTGAGAAGTCATTACGCAAAAAACCTGTTTACAGGCTTCAAATGTTTTTTGTCATTTTTCATGCTTCTTCAGAATATAAGTGTCTGCATCTAAATCCAACTTTCAGTATGAAAGAGGCGAATTCCAGAAACACATGCAGAGAGACCAAAGGCATAAAACCAACCCCAAACCTCAAGTCAGCTCAGTTCCAAAGTACAGTAGATGGAAGTATTTAAAAATATACATTCCACTATATTCATTGCTACTCAAGATTCTTTCTGCATTCTTGATCATATGACTAAACTGCTTCTAAGTCGAGTGGTACAGATGGTGTGGTATTTCAGATTATTCTAATTCCAAACAGCTAAATGCACAGTCTTTTTTAATAACAAGCTTATGCTGAATTTTGAAACAATTACATTTTTGTAACATTACAAAACAAGTTACTCTTTACAGAGGAATGTCCTTGGGATTTTCAGGATTTGCATTCCTTTCAGGAATTGAAGAAGTCATGACTTACTGCTGCATTGTTCATCCCACATGTTAAATGTCATTCTCTAAGTGTGCATGCAGCATAAAATCTCATCTGTACCACAGGATAGCTTAGAATAGCCAAGCATTTTTGTCTGGTTGCATTGTTACTGCATATTCCCAATTTGACAAAGAAAGCCAACATTGCTGATTTATTGCCCATTTTGAACAATGTTGGATACCAGGATCTATAGTTGAATCCAAGCTAGCCAGTCTTTATAAGGTGCCAAAAATGTGCTTAATTCATTGTCACCCTCAAAACAGTGTTGTCATGGTTCTGTTTGCACACTGGGAACAGAGTTACAGACACTGGGCCTTGTGCCTTTACATTATGTGGGTGGAGGTAAAAGTCCTCCTCCTTGAACATACGAACTCCTCTTCATTGATTTGCACAGCACAGCATAGCGGGTGGTTTTGTTCTTCCCATTCCTTCTGTAGAGACTTCAGCACTAGGCTTACATTCAGTGCTCAAACACTCAGGGTATCAGTTGTGTGCAGGCATCTGGGGAATGAACAGTTTTGGTGCCCACAGAGGAGAGGCCTTGGTTCAGAGCCTCCTGTTGCCTCTGTCTTGGTATTCAGGGGTCCTCGCTGTCTGGTGACAAAGCCCAGGTTGGCAAGGGAGGTGACAGTGAGCTCTGGCTGCAGGAAGGAAAAAAACTGATGAGGGCCAATAGCCAAAAGAGTGAGAACTGCTGTGTAGACATTGGAAATGCTGCTGGATGGAGGCATTGCCTTCCCTGCCTTTTCTGATAGACAGTGTCACCAACTGGTGTCATTAATTGGGACTCACCTGGCTGCTTCTCACTTTTTGGTAAGTGTCAATTTAGTAGGATTAACCTGAGCCGTAGTGTGTTCTTAATGTAGTTTTGAATTGTGTTTGTGGTGACATTTCTTATGCATGTTTTTCAAGCTTTCTGCATGTCTAGTTCATAATCCAGAGGGGAATACAACTATGAATGCTGAAAGCTGACCTTGCAGAGAAAGCATGTTTCTTTTATCAGTTATGTTCCACTGATGCCAACGTACCAAACTGTTAAAAACGCACCCTATTTAGTGACAGCAAAGTGATGTCCCAGCAAGCCTTTCTCTGGTAAGTATAATCCATGTTTTTATTGTGAATAATTTCCCAAAATATTTTGGCAGTCTGCATGGGGACACTGCTAAGTGACATTGACACACTTTTCCTGTTTGAAGTTGTCTTGTTCCTGTACAGTACATTTAGTCTGATCATCATATCCTGACAAAGCATGGCATGAATGTGAAACTGAGACAGAAATTATTTGGGTTATGAAAACGAACAGTCTTCTCAGCCAGAGATTTCCAGATGCTGATTATTTTCCACAAAATATCTTTTATTATAGGGAAAACTGATGAAAATTTGTGTTTCAGTTGTAGTCACTAAACAGGTATAATGGAGAGCTGATATATTAAGCCAGATTGAAATATTTTCTTATTTTTTAACTCCTGTAGTGGTTTGAATTACTGGAAGAGCAAAGATTTGGGAAAACCTTCAAAGCAAAACTATACAGTGAAAATTCATGTTCTTTGTATTTCTGAACTTTCCTGTGTCTAGTGAGAAGATACAGGCAAGGAAGTCTAGGTTTCTCTAAGAGATGTAAGATTACAGAAAGTCACAGCAGTTGAATGACAGTGCTTTGGCAAGTTTTTATTAATTTGGGAGATGGTAAGAAGGTTTTACAACCAAATATTTCTGTAAGTGGATTGAACAGTAGCTGACCTTCTGTCCTTTTGGGTTGACCCACAACTTTTACCAATCCTGTGTGATGTATCCATCCAGTCCTGCAGACAGGGAGCCAGTTTAAGGTTCTTTTGCCAGATGAAGTGTTAATCACTCTGCTTCCTATTGTGGGCATGAGCTCAGCTTTCCCAACAGCTGCTGGTGTGGGGCACTTGCACATCTCTGTGGGGAGAAGCTGCCTGGAAATTATCATAGCAGTGGTGCAAGTATGACTTTTCTGAGGCATCTACACTGGAAGTATGTTTGTTACCTGTGGAAGTAGGGAGGGGGTGTTTGTTGGTGGAGACAGGCTGGGCCCTGTTAAGCTGTGCTGCTCCAGCAGCAGCTTCTGATGGAGTGAAGGTCAAGGTGATGCCTCTGCTGCTGTTCTCACCTCAGTGTGGACCTCTGCCATCTGCTTGGTGTGAATGCACAAGATACAGGCAAGGAGAGGGAATAGATGGTGGCTTTGAGGCAGGTTTTGCTCCTACAAGCACCCAAGGGGGCTGTTGTAGCTGCCAGGAGGACTTTGTGCATAAGTTGCTCCCTGTGGAGCTCACATTACTGTTGCATGGGTTGTGAGCTGGGGCATGTGTTACAACCCCTCCCTGCCTCCTCCTTAAAAGTTTTCATGTCAGCTACTACTAAGGTCCAGCAGTTAGAGCTGTTAGGTCACTGCCAGCATGGGGTGACAAATAATTAAATGTTGTCTTTTTTTTTTTTTTATTTACTTGTTCAAGTCCTCTGATATTTGAATGAGGTTAGTATGGCTATAGTTGGCCTTCTGGCAGAAGCTGAGAACTACCAGCTACACAGGACTAGGATGCAAGAGAGTATAATATGGTTTGTAGGAGGAGGTATTTGATGAAAGGTACCTTCTGAGTTGTACTGATGCTTAGAAACTGCTGCATCTTGAATGTATCGCTCACTAACTGTAAGATTTTTTCACTGTTGTTTCGTCCTATGTCCATGCAAAGCTATTTGGCAAAATGATATATCATATAATTAATTTATGTGGTAATGTCTGTGTATGACCAAAGACCTAATATTGTAAGATACAGTTTCAAACCAAAGTACTTACTGATCAGATCCCAGAGTAAGGACACGGGTGAGTGTATCAAGATACTCATAATGCTGCATTTTACTCCTCTGAATTACTGATCTATCTATTAGCAGCCTATTTATGTTACAGTTTGGGGCACATGAGGAAGAATGTCAGTGGCTTGCCAAGTGAGTCAATTCAGTGTTTATAATTTCTTGGTGATCTGCCAGGTAAATGTCTGTCCAAGTTTAGTTTCTCATGTGATCAGGAAGTGATACAGGAGGATGCACTGAGGACTTCCCCGACCGTCTCCCCTCAGCACCCTGACAGGAATGTGACAATTGTCTTGTGCTTTAAAGAGGAAATTTTCAAAGGCACACAGAACTAAATCTCATGTAGAAATCACTGAGGTTCCCTTTAAGCGTCTGAGGTTTTCCCTTTTCATTTCCTTTCAAGCTCAAATAATCACCTTTTTAAAAGCAACTACCCAATCCCTGGGCATCTGTCCTCTTAGGAAAGCTTGCTTACCTGATAACATTTACTCCCTATTGCTTCCCTGTGTATATTTTAGTGTCACTATTTAATTTTCCCTGGGATTATTAGTGTGGAATAAAGTATTGAACTTGCTTCAATGGGCCGAATTGGAATCATACGTTTGAAACAATCAATGAGTGCTTCTGCAATACTGGAAATGGCAAACATCAACTTAAATATAAGTATTGCTTAAAGTTTCAGATTCCTTTTACGTGGTTTGGAAAGAAGTAAGGGGGATCATTCAAGTTCATCTCACGTGGAGACTCTTGGGAATTGTTGTGCATCTTCCTGCAAATGTGACATGAAGGGCTTGGAAGTTTATGTTTATTTTTTAATTTTCAAAGATTAAAATTAGGTGCAACGAGTTGTTTTTTCATGCTCAAGTGTGTACATATATACATACCCATGTGGGACCAGCAAACAGAAAATAATATTTTCATACAGTAACTTAACTGTCATGTGGTTTTGAAAAATCAACTTTTTACGTTTTTTTACTTTTTTGAAAGAAAACTTTCACATAACATAGATGTGGTTTCATCTGCATTTAATACATGCAGAAAACACTTTACATGGTGTTTGCCATTGTAAATAATATAAGGACTTAATTAACTTCTCAAACGCAGTTGGATGGTAAATTTTAAGTTTTTTTTTCCTAGACTTCTCTTTTTATTTCCTTCTATTGTGAATACATGTTTCTCATCTTCTTTCAGAAATGATATTTGGAATGAGACAGTGTGTCTGGGGTAGAAGTTCTTTAAAAGGAAGAACGTGGACTTGTGACTTACAAAGTAAAGATTTTTTTTGCAGGACATCGGTGCCCATCTGCTGTTTGGTACTTTATGACAACCGTCACCTAGGCTTTTCAGCCTCTTGAGAGTCTGGAGATTTTTTGCTTCTTCAAACACTTCATCACTCTGTCAGTAAATAAACAGAGTGGGTCTACTTGGCTATATTTGAGCATTCTTGGACTTGGCACTTGTTTTGCTAAAAGACAGAAATGTGTCTGCTGGTGCAGATACTTTATTTGATCCCATGTCAATCACCTATTTGAGTTTATAGGATTTTGTCTTAATTTTTATTCCTTTAGTACTTTTAGAGGTCCTTGGTTTGCCTTTGTGCTCTACGTGAGCTCTAAAATGTGAATGAATCTAACTTATACAGGTTGCAAAGAATCTTTCCTGGGTGCTTTTTTACCATGTTCGTCTATGGAAGCAAAGAAACAATACATTTGAAAATCAATGTGTCTTACTGTGTTCCAGCCCTTCTCATTAGATGAATGCTAAAATATAGAAACTGTTGATTAGCCTGCTGCCCATTAGCATGAGGAACATCCCTGTTAGAAACATCTGCCAAAGAACTGAAACTGCCATTCTTCACTTGTCCTTCCATGACTCCTCTTCCTCATTCCCTCTCTTTTTATTTTTTTTTAAGCTCCTTTATAAAAAAAACCCTAAAGATGAATTTTGGTTTTTGTTTCCCCCCCCACCCCTTTTATTTAAGGCCAGGGTAAGTTAAAAAGAAACATTTAAATTCTGCAGCCATTTGCTGTTGGCTGCATTTGTTTTAATAAGGGCAGAGAAGCTGAAGCCTCTGTCGCCAGGGCCCAGGGAAGAGAACTCCTGGAAATAAAAGGAGATTGTGACACTGCATGTTTCTGAGGCCGTGAAACAAAAGCTTAAGTGAAAGTGAAGCTACTGCTGAACATAAAGTTTATCACTGTTGCTGGGGAATAGTGTCTGCCTGCTTCAGGCCCGCTGTGAACTTGGCCAGACAAAATAGGTGGAAGGGCAGAAGGTGGGGAATGTCTGCATCCTATTATGAATTGGAGGAAATGACTGTCTGCGCTCCGTGCGCTGGTGGGCTCCGCATCCTGCTGGCAGACTGGTGAGCGCTGTGGGACACTGAACCAGGAGTGAGGAATTGTCAGCTCTGGGGTTTAAAATAACTACTAGGGATGAGAAGAAGCTCCTTAAAAACATACCGTGGGTTTTCTGTTGGCTTTCTTAAACTAACTGGAAACTTTCTGCTTTTTTTTCCAGGGGCATTTTTCTTGGAAAACATTGCTGCTAAAAAGCTCCAAACAGGAGGAGTAAATCCAGTCAGCTTGTCAGACCACTGGCTCAGTGTAACGGTGCTTTCATGAGGTAACGTTGGGCCAAAGTCAACTTTTCTTTTCTCCTTTGTAAACCTGCAGCCAAGCAATGGGCCAGAAAATCTCAGGGAGCATAAAGTCTGTGGATGTGAGGGAGCCCCCTTATAGACCTGTCAAACGAGAGCTGAGAGGCCCGGATTTTTGCAAGCCAGCGCGCCTGGACATGCTGTTGGATATGCCCCCTGCCAAGCTGGAGGTCCAGTACAAACACGCTTGGAACAACGAAGATCGCTCCTTAAATATATTTGTAAAGGAAGACGATAAACTGACTTTTCACAGACACCCGGTTGCCCAAAGCACGGATTGTATCCGGGGCAAAGTCGGCTACACGAGGGGCCTCCATGTCTGGCAGATCCACTGGCCCACGAGGCAGCGGGGAACTCACGCCGTGGTGGGCGTCTCCACGGCCGAAGCCCCGCTGCACTCGGTGGGATACACGTCCTTGGTCGGTAGCAACAGTGAGTCATGGGGCTGGGATCTGGGGCGCAACAAACTCTACCACAACTGTAAAAACCAGCCTGGCGTCACGTATCCTGTCTTTTTGGAACCAGATGAGTCTTTTGTACTCCCAGACTCGTTACTGGTGGTTTTGGATATGGATGAAGGGACGCTTAGCTTCATGGTGGATGGACAGTATCTTGGAGTGGCCTTCAGGGGACTAAAAGGGAAAAAACTTTACCCCATAGTCAGTGCAGTTTGGGGGCACTGTGAAATTACAATGAGATACATCAACGGACTTGACCGTAAGTGTTACTGAATTTCTTCATTACCCTGTCTTTCAACTTTTCTCATGTAGGAGTTTTTCTTTTATCCTGTTGCAGTGGACAGTGTGTGGGGGGGAGCGGACTGTTCACTGTGAGTAAACTGCATCCTGTCTGACTGCTCAAAACTAATATATCTCAGTTGTATCTTGTAATGATGGTGTGGATTGTATCAAAATATCTTCCTTTTTGGCAAGCAGAGTTGCAAGAAATCTGTGTCCAAGGAAAGTGAACAGGCTGAGAAAAAGATACTGAGAAACTTCCTGGGTATACTGAACAGTAAAACTCTTGTTTACTGGAGGATATGTTTTAAATCTGTGGTTTCCAAATAGGATTTGTGGATCCCGTAAAAATTTCCTGTAGTAGTGGAAACTCTTACATGGTGTTCATAAACATACTTGAATGCTGGCCAGTAGGCTTGCTTTCTGTAGTTGCCTTCCCAGGACCCTCAGAAGCAGCTGTGGATCCCCAAGAATCTGGGAGCTCAGGTCAAATACCGCTTTCAGCAGTTTTTCTGAAAGAGAGCTCTGTTCCTTAGTTCATTTCAGGAGGTGCTCTCTCAGGGTATTTTCTTCTCCAGCAATCCGTGTTTTCGGATAAGCAAGCATGAGCTATTTCTGATCTAAAAGGGTAATATCAAATTAAATTGATATGTAGTAAGGAGCAGCATGTTGCTGCTGTGACCTTGGAGTAGTGGCCTGCCAGAAGATGAGTTGCAGAACTGGGTCTTGTCCAGTTCTTGTCCCTGCTCAGGAAGACGAGTGCTCTGCCAGGGCCGAACGCAGCACAGTGTGCACTCGGGCAAGCCCAGTTATTTACCATCAGCGTCTTGGCTGCTGGGTGTTGGGGAATGGAAAGCTGGACAAGGTATTAAGTGGAACTTTGTTCTTGTTTAAGACCGTATTATCTGAGCTGTAAGAGGAACTACAAATATAAATACGTAGATTTACGAAAAATGGACGATTGGGCAAAATTTTAATGTTTTTTGGCTTTTTGAATGGGACTTGGTCTTGTAAAAAGAGAACGCACCTGCCTTTCAATGAGTGATTTCTAAAAGAATTCACTAGTCTTTTCAGTAAGGATGCAGTGGTCTAATTTTTTTTTTTTGTCAAAAATTAATTCTCTGCTCATTAGTCTTACATCTGACATACCAAGTAGAAACATAATTAAATAATTTGACCCTGTTTAAGATTATCTTTTCATAAACATCTGTACCATGCACTGGGGGAAAGACTTTTTATCCACAGAAGCCCTGCAGGTTATTCCAGCTAGATGCTAAATGGCAGCTTCCCAAGTGCTTTCATACAGGGGAATATCCGAGGACTGTAAGTATTGTGCAATTACTCAGACGTTGCAGTGTGATGTGCTGACAATCTTTTCTTTGGATGGTGGGGGAGAGAGACTTTTTTGCCAGCTGAATATTTGTTTGCAAAAGCAGTTTTTATAATACTGTGAATATCTGCCAAACTAAGCTCAGCTTGGTCCACCACGTCCACACAGGATTCTGCATTCGTTTTGTAGCCTTCACAGGGCTGCTCAAGGGAGCTTTAGAAAGATGAAAACACAGGAGAGGATGTGAATGAGTTTGGTAGAAATTATAAAATAAAAGAGGCTAAGTAGAGAAGGGATAGTTGTGGTCTGTGTGATGACAGAGAGAAAGATTCCCATCTGGTTTCTTGTGGGATAATTTTGTTGGAAGAGGCAGGATAGCTTCCTAAACTATCCCTGAGAAAGTCAAAGTCTCTATTTTTTTTAAACACATCAAGTCTAATGTTTCATTTTTTTTTTTTTAAATCCAGTCTCCAGAAAAATCCAGTCCGGGTTTCCCCCCTTTACATACTCCGGATAGTCCAGTCCGGGTTTTCCCCCATTTTCGCGGAAATCCATAAAACGCGAACCCGTGGATAAAAGTAAACTTGTAAACACAACTTTTATGTAGGCCTGAGTGTTAATCTGATCACGTGAAAAGGAAGTTTAAAGCCACTTCACCAGGGGGCATTTTGACATCCTAGAGTCACATCATTTGTTATCACATGTTCACTGATCCATTACTGTCCTGCAACAAAAACAACATTCAAGAAACCAAATTAGCTTGTTTAGCTGGTGCTCCAAAGCAAACACTGTCTCTTCTCTGCTGAAGGTGTTTCTATCCAGGCTGCCCTTGTGTAACTTTGAGTTTAGTCATGGTACCTCTTCATGTTTGCTCTCACTGCACTTTTAATTACAGGTTTTTATAATTGCTTGTTCTTGTGAAAATTGGAGTAGATATTGAAGAACATTTGTGTTCACAAATTTAAATACATTTGAAAATACTTTTGTGTGAGGGAGTTGTTATCGTTTGATTCCTTTTTAACCTTACCAGTTATCTTTTTTCAATCTTTCCCTGCCCCCCTCTTCCCTGGAAGTATCTCATAGCTCCGAGTGCAGCTTTTAGCAGATCTGGCCATAGGGTCTTAGCTGTTTTTGGAACTGCTGTCAAGCAGTGCCTTGTAACTTGCTATTTAGTGATTGATTGTTGCTGCTCAGAATGCATACCACAGCTTGTGATGGCTGTTTGTGAGGTGTGTCCTACAGAGCAAATGGAGACCTCAACGGCAGGGATTTTTAGTGTTTTCAATACTTGCCGCTTAAATAGAAGACCTCTGAATACTTTAAAGGCCCGTGTATTTCAGTTGCCTGGCAAAGAGTGAAAGGCTTGCAGGAATGGAAGAGTGAAAGGCTCAAATGATGGGCTTGTGCAGCTGCAATGAACTCAAACATATGTCATAGTAGTAGAGAGATGATGCAGACTTTGAAGTGTCTTAATTACTGCATAGATGGCAGATTCACAGAAGGATAAGGCTGCAGGTCAAAGATCAAGAACCTGTGTGCCCTCTGATCTCTGGATATTGCTCCTAGAATAATGCTGTAGTTAAAATAAATTGTAGTTCTTCCAGCTGCATCTGATACCCAGAGTATTCTGCCTCAGAAACTACTTTGAGCATCACATGATGATGTTCTGTGACTCTCACAAGATGGTTTTTTTGCTCACATTTGAGAGACTTGGAGTTGCACGTATTTGACAGGGTTTGGGAGGGAAGGCAAGGGGACAGGATGGAGAGTGCTCATCATAAACACATTGAGTTCTTCTCAGGACAAACTTCTTTGATCAAATGCTATCAGTATATACCACGCTGTGTGTAAGTTGGACAGAATTTTACATCAGTCTTCTGACTCACTGCCTCTTGCAATAATTAAAACCCCAAATAACATAAATGCAATATATGTTATTTTTGTTATTTTTCCTATCAGGGTATGGCGCATGTTTACAAAAAGCTGGTCAATTTATATCTGGTGTCTGATGAGGAGTCCTGAAGACTATTTATAAACTGAAACAGAGAAATAGCAAAACACTTCTTTGTAAATGTACTTTGCAGATCATGACTGAACCATTAGCACTTGTGTGTTTAAACAAAGTGTTGGGAGGACAATCAGTAAAATAGTGCCGTGGTGGAAAACTTGGGCACTGAGTAGGTGAGCTGAACTCATTGCAGTTCTTGCATTAAGCCTTGCATAGCCCTTACACAATTTCGAAAATAACTGTCGAGCTCAGAGAGCTGGAAACATTTGTCTTGGAAGAGAAGACTTTACTTACAAGTGTAATTTATGGAAAACATTTGTCTGTACCTGTTCGTACTTTAACCTACGGATCCTTCTTTGGATCTGTATTTGGCCCTGGCGGGTGAGGGTCCCTGGGCTCTCTGTCTGGTTACTGACCACTGCCCTGCAACACATCCCCTGTTTTTAACACCTCTGTTTACATCCCCAATGAAACAGAAGTATTATTCAAAGAATGTGCTTCGAACTTACCTGCCATGAACGAACAGGTGGACTAAAGGGATCATCCAAGCAGAAATCTGGGCTCCTGTTTTCCTGTGCCAGCAGCCTGCTCACTGTTCCTGCAGGCGAGCTGATGCAAGCGTAGAGCTGAGGATGTTTGGAGAACATTGGCTCAGTTTTGGGAAGTTGTAGCTGTTCCTTGTAGAGGCTCAAGAACAGTGGGAAAGAGGAGGGAACTCGAGCACATTCTCTCTGTTTACTGATGCAGCTACAAAAGTTTTGGACATGGGGTCTGTTCACACCTTTTGCTCTCAACCGTGCAGAACAACACAGTGTAACCACTGAATCTCTCTCAGGCTGTACTGTCTAGAATTTTGAAATAAGGTTGATGTTTCTAAACCAAAATGACAACTTTGGAGCTATGGAGCTAAGCACAACTTCTTTCCTCTATCCTACTGTTCTCAGTTTATTTTAATTTGCATTGATCTGTGTCTAACATACCACAATTGCTAATTATAAATATGCACTCTTCCCCTTGGAGGTCTTTTTACCATAAAGAAATCTAAGTCAAAATTGTGAAATTGTTAACTGCCAGGAGAAATATATAATCTCTCTTCAGACTCTGGGTTTTCCCCCAGATGGTTTTCAATTAAAATTTTTAAATGGATTTTTTTTTGTTTATCTAAACTTGTTTTATGCTATTTATATAATACATGACTCTGGAGGCTGCAATGGAAATAATGTACTCTGAAAATCCAGTATTGCTAAACCTTAGAAAGGGTTTTCCCTACAGACATGCAGTCAGAGGATGAAGCAGCAGTAATTAAGCAGCTAATGTTGTGAAGAAGCAATTTTTAGCTTTTGAGATAATTTAACAGGAACCAGCATTTTCAGTTCCTGCTTCAGGAGTCAAATAGGTATTGTTGGGTTTTTTTTGTCTTCTTCCACATGCACCTCCCTTCCCAGGTTTAAATGCCTTTTTTTGTCCTTTAATCCTAATTTGTTGACACTTTCTAATTAATTCTCAGCCTTTTCTCAGCAGGTTGAAACCACTGTATTGTCAGCAGAATATGCCACTCAGTTAATTGGCTTTTTGCCCCAGCCACCCCCTGCCCCTTCTTGGTGGTCTCTGCATTATATCTTTCTCCCAGATACTCTTCTTT